AATTAAAAATAAAATCTACTCTCACACTGGAAACTAAATAATATGCTATTGAATGATTACTGGATAGCAAAAATTATTAGCAACATAATAAAAAATCCTTAGAGGTAAAGGAGAACACCCATACAACATATCAAAATCTCTGGGACACTATGAAGGCAGTGCTAAGAGGAAAGTTCATGGCATTGAGCTCATGCATTAAAAGAATAGAAAGTCAACAAATAAATAACCAAAGCCCTAGAAAAAGGAGAAAGCAACACCAAAACCAGTAGAAAACAGGAAATAATTAAAATCAATAGATAAAATTGAAACAAAAGAAACAATCCAAAAGATTGACCAAAAAAGTTGGTTCTTTGAAAAGAAAAATCAATAAAATTGATAAACCCTTAGCCAAACTAACAAAGAGAGAGAGAAAACTCAACTTATTAAAATTTGTGATGAAAAAGGAAATATTATAACAGACACTACTGAAATACAGATGATAATCAAAACCTATTTTGGAAATTTATACTCTTAATAGAAAATCTTGATGATATCAACAAATTTCTAGAGACGTATGACCTACCCAAACTAAATCAGTAAGACAGATCAACTTTAAGCAACAAAACTGAAGACACCATCAAAAGCCTACCAAGAAAGAAAAGCCCAGAACCAGACAGATTCTCAGCTGAGTTCTACCAGACCTTCAAAGAAGAACACCAATTCTTCTCAAATTATTCCATGAAACAGAAAAGGAAGGAACCCTTCCAAACTCATCCTATGAAGCTAGTATCACCCTGATACCAAAACCAGACTAAGACACATCAAGGAAAGAAAATTTCAGACCAACATCCCTAATGAACATATATGCAAAAATTCTTAATAAAATACTGGCAAATAAAATACAAAAACATATTTAAAAGATAGTACACCATGATTAAGTGAGGTTCATCCCAGGGATGCAAAGTTCGTTCAATGTAYGGAAATCAATAAATATAATTCATCACATCAATAGACTTAAAGACAAGAATCACATGATTGTCTTAAAAGATGCAGAAATAGCATTTAACAAAATACAGCATCAATTCATGCTCAAAACACTAGAAACACTAGGGATAACATAAACATATCTCAACATTGTAAAAGCTATATATGCTAAACCCAAGGCCAACATCATTCTAAATGGAGAAAAATTTAAAGCATTCCATTTAAAAACTGGAACAAGACAGGGATGCCCTCTTTTATCACTTCTATTCCTGGAAACTCTAACCAGAGCAATTAGAAAAAAGAAATGAAAGGGATACATATAGGAAAGAAGAATTCAAACTATCCCTATTTGCTGATGACATGACTCTATATTTAGAAGACCCCAAAAACCCCCACCAGAAAACATCTAGAACTCATAAATGAATTCAGCAAATTAGCAGAATATAAAATTAACACTCATAAATCAATTGCATTCCTATATATAGGAATGCAATTGATTTATGAGTGTTATAAGTGATGAGTCAATTGAAAGAGAAATTAGGAAAATGATCCCATTCATAATAGCCTTAAAGAATATAAAATAGTTGGGAATAAATCTTACAAAAGAGGTAAAGACTTATACAATGAAAACTACAGAACACCAAAGACATTAAAGAAGACCTTACAAGATGCAAAGATTCTCCAAACACCGAGACAACCCCACATAAATACAGTATCTCATACTAGACAAGAGGTTCCATAAACACACATTGGAGAAAAGAAAGCCTCTTCAACAAATGGTGCTGGGGAAACTGGAAATCCATTTGTAATAAAATGAAGTTAGAAGGGCTGGGGATATAGCTCAGTTGGTAGAGTGCTTGCCTTGCATGCACAAGGCCCTGGGTTCAATCCCCAGCACCACAAATTWAAAAAAAAAAATGAATAGAGCCTTATCTCTCAACATGCACTAACCTCAACTCAAATTGGATCAAGGGCCTAGGCATTAGACCAGTGACCCTGTGCCTACTACAAGAAAAAGTAGAGGTCTGGGGCTGGGGCTCAGKGGCAGAGCACTTGCCCAGCATGTGTGAGGCACTGGGTTTGATCCCCAGCACCACATTAAAAATAAATAAATTAATTAAATAAAGACATGCTGCCCATCTACAACTATGTTAAAAAAAAAAAAAAAAGAAAAAGTAGGCCCAAATCTTCATCATGTCTGCTTAGGATCTGAATTCCTCAACAAGGCTCCTAAAGAGCAAGAATTAAAATCAAGAATCAATAAATGGTGGGGCCAGAGTTGTGGCTCAGTGGTAGAGCACTTGCTTAGCATGTGTGAGGCACTGGGTTCAATCCCTGGGCACCACATAAACAAATAAAATAAAACCATTAAAAAAAATCAGGGGCTGGGATTGTGGCTGAGTGGTAGAGTGCTCGCCTTGCACATGTGAGACCCTAGGTTCGATCCTCAGCACCACATAAAAATAAATAAACAAAATAAAGACATTGTGCCCATGTATAACTAAAAAATTTTTTAAAAAAGAATCAATAAATGGTATTATACTAAAAAGTTTCTTCTCAGCAAAGGAAACAATCAATAATGTGAAGACAGAGCCTACAGAGTGGAAGAAAATCTTTAACACATGCATATTAGATACAGCACCAATTTCCAGGATATATAAAGAACTCAGAAAACTTAACACCAAAAAAATAATAATAACCTAATCAATAAATGGGCTAAATAATTGAACAGACCCTTCTCAGAAGAAGATATATAATCAATCAACAAATATTTGWAAAAAATGTTCAACATCTCTAGTAATTAGAGAAATGCAAATCAAAACTACTTTAAGATTTCATCTCACTCCAGTGAGGTGAAATGACAGTTATCAAGATTATGAGCAACAGTAACTGTTGGTGAGGATGTGGGGGAAAAAGCACATCCATACATTGCTGGTGGGACTGCAAATTAGTGCAATCACTTTGGAAAGCAATATGGAGATTCCTTAGAAAACTTGGAATGGAACCAAATGATTGGTCAATCCAACCATTTGACCCAGCTATGCCACTCTTTGGTCTATATCCAAAGGACTTAAAATCAGCAATACTATAGTGAAACACAGCCACATCAATGTTTATAGCAGCTCAATTCACAATAGCTAAGCTGTGGAACCAACCTAGATGCCCTTCAAGAGATGAAGAAACTGGATAAAGAAACTGGTATATACACACAATGGAATATTTTTCAGCATTAAAAGAGAATAAAATCATGGCATTTGATGTTAAATGGATGGAATCAGAAAATATCATACTAAGCAAAGAAAGCCAATCCCAAAAAACCATAGGCCAAATGTTTTCTCAGATAAATGGATGCTGATCCATAATGGGGCGGGGAGAGCCTAGAAAGAATGGAGGAACTTTAGGTTAGGCAAAGGGTGGGTGGGGAAGGATTGGGGGTAAGAAAGATGAGAGAATAATATAGATATCAGTACCTTAGGTACATGTATAATTGTAGAAATCTACATTGTATACAACCTGAGAAATAAAAAAAGTTGTGCTCTATTTGTATACAATGAATCGAAATACATTCTGCTGTCATGTGTAACTAATTAGAACAAATTTAAAAAATAGCCCTTCCCCCCTCAAAAAAAAAACTACACTGAGATTTTATTTCATTCCCATCAGAATGGCAACTATCAAGAATACAAGTAACAATAAATGTTGGCAAGGATGTAGTGAAAAGGGTACTCTCATACATTGTTGGTGGGGCTGCAAATTGGTGCAATCACTCTGGAAAGCAGTATGGAGATTCCTCAGAAAACTTGGAATAGAACCACCATTTGACTCAGTTATCCCACTCCTCAGCATACACCCAAAAGACTAAAAACCATCATACTATAGCCACATCAATATTCACAGCAGCTCAATTCACAATAGCTAAACTATGGAACCAACCTAGGTGCCTTTCAATAGATAAATGCATTAAAAAAATGTGATACATTCACACAATGGAATATTAGTCAGCCATAAAGAAAAATAAAATTATGGCATTTGCTAGTAAATGGGTGGAACTAGAACTGCTAAGTGAAATAAGCCAATCTCAAAAAACCAAAAGCTGAATGTTCTTTCTGATATGTGGATGCTGACTCACAAAAGGCTGGTGAGGGTGGGCAGTGGAGGTTCACTGGATTGAACTTGGGGAATAGGGGGAGGGGAAGAAGAGGGGGGTTGGGAATGGAAAAGACAGTAGAATGAATTGAACCTAACTTTCCTGCATTCCTATAAGAATAAACAACCAATGTAACTTCCCCCAATAATGGAAAGTTATACTTCACATATGTATGATATGTCAAAATACATTCTATTGTCATGTGTAACTAAAAAAAAGAATAAGAAATAAAAGAATAACCATATGATCCAGCAATTACACTCCTATGTATAGGTACACACCCCAATGAACTGAAAGTCTGAAGGGAATTTCTACCTACATGTTCAAAAGCAGCAATGACTCACAATAGCCAAAAGATGAAAACAATTGTCCATTGATGGATGAATGGATAAACCAAATGTTATATTATATACTCACAATATTATTTGCCTTTAAAAAGAATGAAATTTTGATACATGCTAAAACATGGATGGACCTTGAAAATATGCTAAGTGAATAAAGCCAGACAGAAATCGTTAAATACTGTAAGATTTCATATATATATATATATATATATATATATATATATATATATATATATAGAGAGAGAGAGAGAGAGAGAGAGAGAGAGAGAGAGAGAGAGAGAGATGGATTTACCTGATATATATATATATATATCAGGTAAATCCATACAGTTAAAATAGTAGTTATCAGGGCTGGAAGCAAGGGGGAATTGGTTAATGGGTATAGAATTTCCACTTAGGATGATCAAAAAGTTCTGCAGATGGATAGTGGTGATGATTATTAAACAACATTGTGAATTATACTGAACACTACTAAATTTTACACTTAAATGATTAAAATTGCATATTTTAGGTCATCTATGTTTTATCACAAAAAAAGGCAATACCTGAGAAAATGGAATGTCATAATCCCTGTAGAAACCAGTTCTTTTTTTGTGAGAACTTTCTGTATGTTCCACATCTGAATCAAGACTGTAGTCTGAACTATCATCACTAGATGGGGAATTATGCTAAAGGGAAGGAAAAAAATGTGTTACACTTGCAAAAAGAAGAAAATTTAATAATTAACATATAAGCTTTAGCTAGATGTGCCAACAAGTAGGTCATAGTGTTCTGGTAGACTCTTAAGTATAACTGAAAAGTCTTTTCCACAGGCCACCAGCACCCCAACTCCTCTGAGATTTTCTGGGGAAAGTATTTCTTCTTCTGTTTATAAAAGTATTTTTTTTTCATCATCCCTTTGGCCCAAGGACTTCAAACAGAAGTCATTTGGGCTCTAAAATTATCTTATACTTAAGTTAATCTTAAAGGAAGTAAAACCAGTTCCTCATAACCAAAAGGGGTCACAGAACACAAGTAGGAAATGCATTAACTTATTTCTATGTAAAATGCCTTTACAGTTCTTATTCTATTGTGTGAGTACACTAAAATGAAGATATCAAAACACTGCAAATCACTTATATGAAATAAACCTAGCCCATAAAATTAACCAAAAGTGAAATGAAAGCAACAATTGATTATGATGGAAAAACAGTTTTCAAGTCTGAATGCAATTTCCAAAAAAGTCACCAAATCTCTTATATCTGGTCAAAATACTTACCTTTGCAAGTTGAGTACCCTCTTTAAAAGTTCTCAAAGTTTACAGCATGCAGACACTAAGCATGTATGTCCTCATTCCTGAATTCTCAGCATGTGGTATAGTATAGTACAAAAGCAATGAAATTCTTTGTAAGTAAATTAATCTCTGATGCTCTTACAGAGGAAGAATCTGTTTTGCTCCATTCCATTCTTAAATATTCTTTTAGAGAAAACAATCTACTTTCTTCACTCACTTTAGTTTTCTCTTTGTTGACTTGATAGGTGATATGGTGTACTTTTTTGAGAATTTTTGTGTTTCCTTTTATACCTCCTTTTGGTGAGAGTGCTGGGAATCCAACCTAGGGCTTGGCACATGCTAAGCTCAAGTTCTGCAATTGAGCTGCTATATGCCTAGTCCCTATCCCTCCTTTTTTGTGGTGAGAATATTGTTTTAGTTATTCGTTTAAGTATTTGAAACTACTGCTTTAACTTTTGTGATTTTACCTATAAAACACAGGTGAATTATTTCTTTCTATATATTTAGTTGGTAAGTACTAAAGTTTAAGGTCTAAATTACTATGTTAAAAAAAATTACTATGTTTTCTACAGAACTCTTTTTTTTTTTGGTACTGGGGATTGAATTCAGGGGCACTCCACCACCGAGCCACATCTCCAGCCCTATTTTATATTTTATTTAGAGACAGGGTTTCACTGAGTTGCTTAGCCCCTTGCTGTTGCTGAGGTGGGTTTTGAACTCAAGATCCTCCTATCTCATCCTCCTGAGCCACTGAGATTACAGGTGTGCGCCACCACATCTGGCTCTACAGAACTCTTAACATCATGTCACCTCATGATGAGTAAGGAGGGCAAATGACATACAATTCAAGGACTAACATGCAAGCCACACAATGACTCCGAAAGTATTCAAATAGTAACAGAAAGAATTTAAGAACTTAAATGACTTCCTCTAAACAGACCACCCTTTTCACACTTTTTTGCTTTGGTATTTTCTGTGCCTCTTTGGACAATCTTACCTGTCTTTGAAGATTTACCACAAACTTCCATCTAACAAAATATACTTACTGAAGGAAGTATAGCACACAGCAATTGATGAAAATATTTTGGAAAATTTTATAATACTGTAACAAAATTTTTGCCTTATAATATTAAGTAAAATGCAAATATAAAATAAACCATATTATTTCCAATATCAAGGAAACAGAAAAATAACTGGAAAGAAATATACTAAAATGTTAATTAACACTAGTTACTCTAGTAAGTCATTATTTAATTTTTAAATAATTACCTTCATCTTACTTTGTAACACAATATAGTATACTATATTAATAGTATGATTAATAGTCAKCTGGATACCTGTAATCACAGCAACTGAGGAAGCTGAGGCAGGAGGATAGTAAGTTTGAGGCCAGTTTCACTAACTTAGCAAGACCCTGTCTCAAAATAAAAGAAAATAAAAAGAGTTGGGGGTGTGGCTCAGTGATAAAGGTACTCTGGGTTAAATTCCTAGTATACCCCCCMAAAAATAGGAATAAAAGATAAAAGAAAATGTATTCTGTACTAAATTCAAACAAACTGAAAAAAAATGTCTCCTGGACTGTCTGCCTTACAACTCTCAGACATCCAGTCCACCCTGCATGATTAACTTTCCCAAAATGGCCATTGTGTAACATGCCTTCTCATCTGAAGTGCTTCCCTCAGACTAGCACATCAATACCAGGCAACTCGCTGTTTGTTTTCCAAGATCTCAAAATTTATCTACCTCCTTAAGTTCTTCCTCCTTTACAATTAGAACATGTCTCAATCTAGCTCTTCTCCTCGAGGGCTCCTTCATATAAAAAATGCTCCTGCAAAATCTGGTCTGGCTAGTCCTTCCTCATCACTGGAAGTATTTTCTCCTTTCTCTTCCTTTGAAATCTCATTTTTTAACATAAACTCCAATTCTTATTACTGTCTTCCTTTTCTTATTGTAGTGCGTGCTCGTGTGCAGGCGCACGTTCTGAACCAAACGATTAGCACAATGCCAGATGTCTTCCCTATATCTCTATGCCATGGGAGTTAGCACATTATACACTGTTTGATTTGTTTTTTTGTGATAACAGGCATTGAACACAAGGGTGCTCTACCACTGAGCTATATCTCTAGCCCTTTATATTTTTTTTTTCACTTTAGGGTCTAAATTGTCAAGGCTCAAACTTACCATCCTCTTGCCTCAGCCTCCCAAATTACTGGCATTATTTTGTGTGCACCACCATATCTGGCTGATAATTGTTTTATGTTTATGATCTATCCCCCTAATCTCACCAAATACAATCAAGTCAGAATTATGCATTTTCCTTCTTCTTTCATCAAAGTTTTTACCATAACATTAGCCAACAATTTTTTATGTATTACCTGACTAGTTCAGACTAGTTGAAAAGTTAAAGACAAATAAACAAACAAATCTTATAGGGAGGAAGTTTATTAAGTTGACCAAAGATTGAAAACCAGCTGCATCTTGAGGGTGTTGAAGCAGTTTTTGGCAAGACCCTATGGCAAGAGACTATAGGATCTTTGAAAGTTTGGGGAAAAAATCCTTTCTTGAAAATATTTGGCCCTTATATTTCTTAGTAGGAGAGATTATGAACTAAATTCTTCAAAAAAATCCATTAGACTTTTTGACTCTCTGAAACCAACTTTGTAAGGTATATTTTTCTAGAAAATTATCCATTTCATCTTGGTTTATTTCGCAAAATTATACAAATAAATTTCTTATAGTTTTAATTTCCTCTTTTTATCTAACTTTATTTTTATCTAATTTTTCTTTTCCTTTTTTTCTTGACCAGTTTGGCCAATGACATATGTTTTGTCTTTTTTTAAGACCTATTATTTTTTCATTCTAACTCATAAAGTTCTGTTTGTAACTTTAGTACTTTCTTTTGTTTTATTTTCCCTTTATTGTTTTTCACCTTGGGAACTTAGCTGATCTTTTTGTTTTTTCATTTTTATTGCTATGAACACTTAATGCTATAATTTTTTTTAGAGAGAGAGAGAGAGAGAGAATTTTAATAYTTATTTTTTAAAATTTTCGGCGAACACAACATCTTTGTATGTGGTGCTGAGAATCAAACCCGGGCCGCATGCATGCCAGGCGAGCGCGCTACCACTTGAGCCACATCCCCAGCCCAATGCTATAATTTTTATTCTGATGATTATAGTTAATAACTATAAGATGACAACAAGTTTATACTGATTACTACATACTCTTCAATTTTTCCGTTCTTTAGGAATGAATAAACAGATGGACAATGCCAGTGCTGCTAATTACAGTCATAATGTTCTAATACACTAAATTCTGCCCCTTTTATAGTCATCTTTTATTCTTGGTTTCACAGATAAATATTTGTGTGCATGTAGTAGGCTGATCCTATCCTACCTCTCCCCTAGTGATTTGATTATCTGAATTTGTTTTCTAGCAGATTCGCATGGCAACAATATTTCCTGAGTTCTTGCACATACACTGTCTGAGAACTGTACATTTGAAGGTCAGTATTCTAACTGGATATAAAATCCCCAGCTTGCATTTTATTTCCTTATTTAAATTTGTCAATCCAACAGAAGATAAATGGATTGACAAATTTTTAAAAACGTTTATATATAGATTCTTATTTTCTTTCTTGAATAAGGGCCTTGGGGTTTTGTGTTATTGTTGTTGTTAATGTTGTTTTCTTGTTGTTTTGCTTGAATGGCCAAAGAATTCTTTTTTCCAATTCTATTTTTTTGTTTAGTCATAGTTCATATTATTTTCCTAATTTGTTAACATTCTGAAATATTGGATTAAATGGTTTGGTATGCTTGTCGGCATTCTTTCTTTTCCAAAGGAACATTATTCTCTCATTTTTCTTGTAATAATTTCTCTGGAATATGACCAGAGTCCTGTCTTGATTCTCATGTAAAAGAATGCATGGGATGAGCCAAGAAAGATTCCCTAGAGTCAAGCCTTTGGGACTGCCTCTTCTGTTGTCAATGCAAAGTATTAAGAACACAATCAAATGTCCTCTGAGACATGCTTCTTCCATCTCCTTCCCCATCATTTCCTTCTTTGGCCCTGGTGTGTTTGTGACTCAATTTAGATTCTACTCTCAACAGTTACCTTCTCAGTGTGAGACTCTGTCCTAGGAAAGGGATTTGGTTGATTAGTATGAGRAATTAATTAGGCACACTTCAGCACCATCCAATTTTCTGTCCTCACCTGATATTCAAGTGTGAACTAGAATCACAAAGCCTTGAATGTTTTTCTGTTGCTGCTCTCATACAGACCCATGAGATTCCAGTGTTGAGCAGGGACCCCTCTACTTGAGATGGCAGTTTGTTTTCTGGGAGTTCCTTGACCTTCTCTCTGCTCTGTTTCACACAGTTGCTGACTCTATACTGGTCTTATTGCTGTCTGTATGGTTTGGCTATTTGTATTTTTGAGGTTTGTGGGGATAACTTGTTATTTCATTTTGCCAATGAGTTTTTAGTTTTGTTTTACTAATTGCAATGGGGGAAATTCAGGGAGTTTTTAAAACTACTCCACCACTGCTTCCAGGATAGGATCCCTTCTTCCCAGTCTAAACTCACATTATTTTCCATCAAGCAAGTTATTGTTTTCTTGATAGCACTTGTTTTTCATTTATTTATCACCTCTCTCCTTACATTTCCATTTTTCTTTAAAAGCAAACAGTTTGAATCACCACTCTAACCCTGGCATATATCAGGCTTCCACAGTAAGCACGGAATAATACATATGGATAATCCACATGAACGAATGAATGAACAGACAGACAATGCCAGTGCTGCTAATCCACATCTGTAGAGCATAACATTTTATTTTCTTAACCTTCTAATATCCTTGCTTACAATCACTCATCTAGAAGAGATTATATTTTAATCTGAATTAAGCGGGGGTTAGATTTACCTTTTTTTTCTTTTAATTTAACCTTTATTTATTTTTTTAATGTGGTACTTAGGATTAAACCCAGGGCCTCACATGTGCTAGGCAAGTGCTCTACCACTGGCCACAACCCGAGCACTACCTTGATTATTTTTTGAATCTTTAAAATAATTCATAAAATATTTATGCTTAGAAAATGTGTTACTCAATTAAATAAAAACATATAATCCATATATTTTACAAAGAAAATAGACAATGGATTATATTTTCTAATTTTCAGTATTTTATATTTCATTAAAAATTGTCAAAAGAACAGTGCATACAACTAACCTTATGTTTCTCACGTTTTCTCCTTTTGGATTTCTTCTTCTCTCTTTCTTTCTTGTGTTTTTTTCTTGATTTTCTGTAGGCTTTCTCATTTTTCTGTTTTTCATCCTCTTTTGCTTCATGCTCTTGTGTTTCTTCAAATCCTGCATCATCTATTTCACCATCTTCTAATTCATCATCTTCTCTATACAAGACAATGAAAATTTAATTTTCAAATGTCAGTTCTAAAATAAATCTTATAGAAATATTTTCAAAAGAAAAAAAAGCATGTGTCAAGAATTTAAGATATATTCATTTTGAAAATGGACTGAAAATCATGTTCCATCAAGGGCCTGAGAGTAAATATTTTTATATTTGCAAGCCACATATTTTCTGTTGCAAATTCACTCTTTTTTTTTTTTTTTTTTTTTTTTTGGTGCTGGATTGAACCCAGGGCCTTGTGCATGAGAGGGAAGTAACTCTACCAACTGAGCTATATACCCAGCCCTCATCTTCTTCTTTAAACAACAACAACAACAACAAAAAAAACAACTTGAAAAATGTAAGAACCATTCCCAATAGCCAAAGTCTGCCAAACTCTAATTTAGATTAAGATCACTGACTCTCCCCAAAATAATGAATGAACGATGAATACAGTATTATCCCAAAGTATTACAATAGTTACCATCTACTACAATACCTTCAAGAGGCAAAAAAAAAAAAAAAAAAGCTAAACTAAAATACTTGAGGAAACACTCTAAATATAAGAAAGCATTTTTAACTTAGTGATCCATATGCAGCAGAATAGCTTTAAAGTAAATTAAATCGATATTTTAAAATAAACTCAATCGATATTTCTTAACAAAGTAAACTTCAATAAGCAAGCAAATTTAATACATAATAAGTAATAAAACCAAGCCACTAAAGAAGAATTATTAATTCCTCTTTTGAATTATCTTGAAGAATTAAAAAATAATCCAGAAATCTTAATGCATATTAAAAGAGACAATAAATCTGTAAAAAATATTCACAGTAAAATTATACATTTAATTCCACTTTTCAAATACTAGTATCTTTGCTATTTTGGAAGTTGAATGTTAGAAACTGACTTTTCATGTTGATTATGAAATTTTTAAGTTAATAGAAGCCAAAATGTTCATTATTTTAAATGCAAATAAACCAACTGATATAATTGGAAGATGAATGCATAAAACAATTTTAACACTACTCATGCTTCCATACACTACAGTTTGAAAAGCTACAAACTACAAATAGTACATGCTGGTCTTTGTATAACTGGAAGCAAATGAGAAACACCCAAACTATGGTGTGTACATTTTAAAGATAATTTAAAATTACTTGAAACATGTACTTTCTAAAATGCAAAATTGGTCATGTCACTCTTCAGCTAAAAATCTTCAATAATATCTCAAATTTGGGAATAGAATAAGTAGACTCAATAAGACAGATCAAGAGCTGAAAACTGTGGGGTCTGTCTATGAGGATTCATTCTACTATTCTTTATCTGTTTAAGTTTTGTATAATAAAAAGAATCTTCACTGGTTCCCTTCTGGAATGAGGATATTGAATCTCCTTTTTATAACTGAGTTTCTGCTTATCCAGTTACTTTCCATTTCTCAAGTCCCCAAGCCTTAAACTTTGTCTAAAAACTCACTACCCTGCTCATCTCAGTATCCACCCATATCTGGTCACCTGGCTAATACTAACAGACTACTTAGGACCCAGTTTAGAGTTTAGATGTTATTTCCTCTAAGATACCACCTTATCACCCAGGTTTAGGTGAAATACTCCATTCTAAGCACCCCCTAATAACCCTCCATTTCTCTTATCCCTGCACTCTGCACATTATGTTCAAATGCCTTGTTTATTGGTTGGTGAATGTGGGGTACATATGCAGCCCTAGCATCTAGCATGGTACCCCTTCTGTTTACTGAATGACTGAATGTATAATATCCATTACTTTTGCATCTAGAACAAGTACATAATACCACCCTTAAGTAAATATTATTGTCAATTTTTCCCAGTTTCTATTAAAAAATCAAGATGGACTTGAAAATTTCTTGTGAAGCAGGCTTTGCATTCTGTTTAATAAAAATGTTCTGAACTTTTATAAAACTCTAAAACTTTATGGCCCAAGAAAATCAGTGCATATAATCACCAAAAGACAATTATAAGAATGGTTTCAGCAGCTTTACTAATAATAGCAAATAATTTTAAACAACCCAAATCTCCATCAGCAGGTGAATAAATATATAAATTGTGCTTTATTTATATAATAAAATAATATGGGTAAAAAATTAACTACACCAAATAATATGGATGATTCTCATAGAAATAATGGGTGAAAAAGGCCAGACATAAGACTTTACTAAGTCCATCTGTATGTACTTCAAGAACAGACAAAACTCATCGCAGTAATAGAAGCCAGAGTAACAACTGCCTCTTGGGGATATATAGCTGGCCAGAAAAAAAAAACAAACAAAAGAAAAAAGAAAGCAGTACTGATTTCTGGGGTGTTGAAATATTTTGTACATTGATCTATGTTGTGATTACCACATGTATAAGTATGTATAATTTGTGAATATTAATACAGTAGTACATTTAAAAATCATTCACTTTGCTATGTTATACCACAATAAAAATTTAAATATAAATGACAAAAAATATCTATGGGTGTTGATCATTTCTTTTACTACCTCTATCTTCCAACTTAAGCTCCTTAAAGTATTAAAAAAAAAAMCTTACACCTAGAAATCAGAAATTCATATTTAGCATTTTGACTAGAGCTATTTAAAAACATCAAGTACTCAGGCTGAAATGCTACATGCAAATTTATGACCTACTTTACATCAATGTGAAATATGAGCTTTTCATATTTTTTACTAGGATAAAACACTACAAGTTTTAAACTTTTTTCTATCTTCTCCCATAGCCTATTTATCATTTTAACATTCATACAAGAACAGATATAAACATGAATTTCTGTTTCAATACAAAAATTAGATAGAAAGATGAAATAAAGAACAATGATTCACATGTCTATGAACTGCTTCTACATGCTTTAAAAAGTAAGTTTGGAGCACATATGAAAGTATGCGTAACATAACGGAAAGAGAAGACTTAATGGAAGGAAAGTTGGATTCTAATTCCAGCCATCATCAAAATAAAATAAAGCTTTCTTTATTGAGCAACTAGTAATTTGTCAGATACCAACCTGTGATCTTGAGATAAAACAAGAGAATAAGAGAATCAAGAAATGCTTAGCATTCTCTAGATTTTGAATGACCTCAACACTATTTTGTTTACTAAATCCAGATAGTTTTTCAAACTTAATAAATCAAAAAGAGAAGTTCCCAGGTCAAATATATATATGGAACTTCTTATTAACATGGAAATAAGAGTGATTTTAGAACTGGGGTTTGTGGCTCAGAGGTAGAGTGCTTGCCTAGCATGGGTTCGATCCTCAGCACCACATAAAGTAAAATAAAGACACTGTGTACACCTATAACTAAAAAAAATATTTAAAATTTAAAAAAAATAATTTTAAAATTTTAAAAAGAGTGATTATATTCTTTTCAGGAAAGTGGCATATTCATGTTCATGTACCAGACACTGGTAAATAACTATCCAGTTAGTACACAAAATTGCCTTTCAAAGAGTTTATCTCTAAGTCAAATCCACAGAGACAGAAAGTAGATTAGAGGTTGCCAGGTAGACTAGAGGGAAGAATGGGAATTGATTATCAACAGATCTGGGTTTCTCTGTGGAACTGATGAAAATGTTCTAAAATTAGATAGTGGTAATGATTGCATAACCCCAGATATACTGGAAACCAATGGATTACATAGTTTAAAGGGTGAATTGTATCTCAATGAATTTTAAAAAATATTTTTTCTCTAGACTTATATTCTAGATGGAAGACATTAGAGAAAATCATAATATGCAACGGTATAAGTAAAATACTCTGAAATTGGTCAGTATCCTCACCATTCATATGTTCTTATTCTGAAGGTAATTACTCACTAAAGCCTTATAAATTGATATGTCTCAACAGGGGTATTCTAGTTTTCACTGTTCTGGGTATTGCTGGCTATTGAGATAAATTAACCTGAACCATTTAGTCTTATATTTCTGCCTTTTCTTTACGATTGCCTAAAGGCTCCTTTTACAAGCTGTGTCTTCTGGAAGAAATGCAAAAGCCTCAATAAGAGACTACACACACTCCTGATGGATGCCATTACAAGACATTACTTACAAATATGAACTTCCTGAGACAGGCTGACATATCACCACAATATCCACAATTTGTGCCTGTGTCAGGATTTCTCCAGAAGCAGACAACATAATACAACAAAGTGCTTATCCTAAAAACAGAAAAACATGGCTTTCCAGATGCTTGAAACCACTACTTGGGACACTTTTCTTCCATGCTTTTGTACTGATTTATGCTGTCATTTCTCTCTCACCATGGTGATAAGGTAGAAAATGGCTTTATGCTAGTGCCTTGCAGCACTGTATGAGCTCCACAGAGGTCACACAGGTCAGGCTCAGCACAGGCTGGCTTAAACCTGGGCAGACTGCCTCTGACCTCCAGATAAGGCATGATTCTACTACCAGGCTGTACCTCACCCACCTCCCTATTTTGTAGGAGGCTGCTGGGAGGCAGTTTCTCATCCACACTCCTGGCTTCCAGTGAGGTCTGAGATTTACCACAGCTGCAGGCTAAGTGTTTAGCTTTAGTATGGAAACAGGCTAAGAAAAGTGTTTAGCTTTAGTATTGAAACAGCTCCTCAACAACAGAGTGCCCACCACACATGCTGCTGATCATCTGACTCCTTCAAGTTTGGTGTTGTCTTGTGGGAAAAGAGACGTGGGCAGCTGACACTATGCAGGCTGTGCCTCTATTGTCCATGTAACAAGTGTCTGAATCCTACTGGTTCAACCAGTCAACATGCTTGACGGATAACTAGCTCAGCTAAGACTTTTCCCCTGCCTACTCTGTCTTCTCTCAACATATGCAGTTTATGAAAAGGCGGCAGAATACAACAGACACTAATATGGCAGTATGTAAAAACGTGGATGTATAACCGATGTGATTCTGCAATCTGTATATGGGGTAAAAATGGGAGTTCATAACCCACTTGAATCAAATGTATGAATTATGATATGTCAAGAGCTATGTAA